TAAACCAAGAAAGGTATAAATGAAATTCATGCACATGACCCAGTGAGCAATTCCATGCATGTCACCTGTGATTTTTAATTGTGAGAAATAGTCTATAAGAAGCTTTTTTTCAAAACACATAAACATGCGAGAATTAGATGTACAGCTCAAACTGATCATTGCTGCTTTGATTATCTTTAACAGTCTTAGCATCTTTAACAACATGTAATTGGAGTTCTTGTCCAAGGTGAGATGCCATATACAAAAGCTCACTAATTACATCTACAGTTTTAAATGTTGGATCTTTAGTTTGTATTCATGTAAGCTTTATCTTTAGTGTCAAAAGGTTATTGCAATAGCTTTTTCTTTTTCTTGCAGCTTTGGATCTTCAGTGTAATCAGTGAACATAATTACCGTTGCATAGCACATATCGACTTAAAGAAAGAACAAGAGAAAGTCTGTAAGAAAGTGTGGAAATCTGGCAAAGAGATAGGTAGCACAATGCTCCTAGAATGCTGTTTATGGTATAGCCCAGTTGTTACTGGCTACTGATTGTGTGCTTTTTTTACCATGATAATTTATCGTAAGTGACAGACTTATGAGTCTTAGACTGTGGCATGGAATTCTTATTGAAGCTGATATGTAGTTGGGTATTGGTGTATCTGGAAGGAATTATGCATGTATGTATGTAATAAATTCTAAATTCTTGGCCAGTGCATTTGTTCATGAAATATTGCATTATGTACACTATTAAGTATTTGTTTTTATTGAATTCGTTGTCCAAGGCCTCAGTGAGAACAGAACTATTGCCTAAAAATTAATACCTTGTCAAAATGGAGTACTATTTCTCAGTTACCTTTGAAGTTCCTTTTTTTTTTTTTTTTTTTTTTTTAATCTATACCAGTGCCTTCATAATATGATATTTCTCTGGCTGTGATATTTCTAATGGTATAACACAGAGTACACATAAATCTTTATAGGCTGCCCTGGTAACCCAGCAGTGATTCCCTGGTATCAGACTGGTTTGATCATTCCCTTGTAGTGCCTTGGGATGGCCATGAGTAGGTGACAGCCTGGGTACAATGGGAGGCCACCCTCTCCCTGGTGAGGTACAGACCCATGTCCCCTCAGCACTGCTGTGGCTTTCCTAGGGAAAAGGAAATCTGGTTTCCCATGCTTGCTCTTTTTCTGGATCAATGACTGTTGTATTCTTACCTGCCTAGTGGTCCAGCTTCCATAATCCTGAAGTCCTAACCTAAGGAGAAAAACTCCTACATTTCTTGTTGTCATTTAAAATCTATGGATCTGACTTCAATGTTTGAGAATGATGTAATGTCTGTGTCTAATGCTGAATTTGATGCTAGTAGTTCCTGAGTGTGAATTACACAAGCAGAATGGATTGGAGACTCCTTGGGAACAGGGAACTGAGGTGGATTTTCATCTTGCTTTTGGATTATGTTGTAGCTTTAGTGTCAAGAGAATTTTCAGGCTAAGTGGAAAGATACTCAGCATATTTAAGGATTCTTGGAATATGACTTTCAGTGTCATTTCTTGATATGAAAACACGTAAAATATGCAAACTTGTTTTCAGTTCGTAAGTAGGATCTTTGGATTTTGTCTCTAGATATGTGGAAAAACCTCATGTAATAATGAGCAAAACTGGCTCCTAGGAAATATCCATCTTTCAAAATAGAAGTTTCTTGAGTGTGGTCTTAGTTTTTCATGACTACTACAAATTATCTCTTGAATCCTGTCTGTTTCCCTTATTTCATAGTATTTTGATAGTTGATATTGTTGACTTTCTTAGGTGAAGGGCAAAATAATTCCAAGCTTTGCAAAACAGACATGAGACCAGAAGGATCAGTGGAAACATCATTGCCTATCCTCTTAATTGAACATTGTGACTTTTTCGTATGTTTCCATAATGAGGAAAACACGTAAGTCCTTTAAATATAACTTAGTATTTGAGTCAAATGTATTTCATGGAGTTCCTATTTATGCTTGGATTATTTTCACTGAAAACTTGTATTTTTTGAAAAAGGCAATAGGAAAATCAAATAATGCTTTTAGAGATTAGCAAGCTTTAGTGGCCTACTCTTAGGAAGATAATGTACACAAGCTGATACAAAATTAAAACTGGGTTTTATTCTGAAAAATAATTATATAAAAATGTCATTGAGACTATCCATTGTAACACTTATTGATACCAGCTAATTAGAGGAGTTAAAAAGTAATTGATAAATCAAATTTATTTTGCATTTGCTTTCCTAAAGCAATATGTGATGCAGCCACTGTGTGACTGTATCAATTTGTCTTCCAAATTTAAATAATTTTTGAACTACATAACCTGCTCCAGTCAAACTTCTGTCAGAGGGACAGATGTTTCAGAATATGATGCTTTTACTCATTCCCATGGAATTGGTTAGCCAGTAGAATTAATCATTGCATTGCATTTCTTTCCTGAAGAAATGTTTATTATCAGGCACCTGGAGATTTGTTCAGGACACTCCCACAAGAACTGTCTCAAATAACAACCTATTTGTGTTGTAATTTATGATTATCACTTGTGCAAATTTCTCAGCCACACCATGTTTTAGAAAACTCTTGTCCTAACCTTTGCTCTGTCGTGGGTTATTCAGATGGAACTGATTAATCTCGTTAGATATATAAATAACTTTTGATAAACGAAGAAGAAAAATATCCAGCAGTCCTGGACAATTTTGGTTGTCTTTATCTTAAGTAATTATTCATTGTTATTTTCATGATGCCTGCATATTTAGAAGTACCACCACTGAGAGGAAGGAAGTGGTGATTTTTAAGATTCACATCTCAGATATATTTTAATGCAGTGGCAGTACTTGAAGGTCATATGATGAATTACCACTGTCTGTCATATTGCTTGTATAATACCACTCTCAAAGTATCAAAGCTTTGCCTTCATCACAACTCTAAGTTTGATTTGAACAGCAGCAAATCTTTGAAGATGACAAATTTTATGGCAATAAAGAACCCATCATATCCCTAGTGAAGTTGTTCAATTTTACCTTTAGCCGGAATTACCCTCTTTGCATATGCAGGCTTTTCGTATGTTTTTTACTCTGTTAGTCCAGTGCCAGCTACTATGGTGTTCCCTCCTGGGACAGCAAATTACAGCTCATGAACAAGTTACTTCTGCACTTCTGGATAAAATAGTTTGTACCTTGTAGAAGGCATGGTTTGTATAATGTTTTTAATATTTGATTTTGAAAACTTATGAAACTCAGTCTCATTTATTTTTTAATCACCTTTTTGGGACATGGTTGCCTGAAATAGATACACAGTAATGGATTATTTGAAATAATTTTCTGATTTGAGATAAAATCACTTTTCCATACCCACCTGTTACTGCTTCACAGACTCCATCTAAGGTCTATTATATCAGCTATCACATTGCAGCTGAAGGTTTTGTTCTGCTTATAGACAACCATGGCCATTAAATTCTTACTATTAATTCAGTTCTATTATATTTTGTGTTGAGAGTTTTGTGTTTATAAATTTTTTTTTCTATTTATTTTTTAAAGACAGTGTATTTGTTTTAGCAAGTGCTTCATATTTGTCTGCAGTGTATTGGTTTTAGCAAGTGCTTCAGATTTGTCTGAACAATTGAGCAATCCCTGATACACTGCTATTCCTGTCTGCAATGAAAAGCAACAATGAAACAATTTTGGAACACTGATGTCCAAAATTAGGCATCTCCCACTTTCCTTAGCTTTTTTACATTGAGCAATCTCATCACAATGGATTTTATTATTATAAAGTTGGAGTGAGTTAAACTTGCTGGATATATCACTTTATGGTGTTTGTAATAACTTGATAGTGACACTTCTTTATACATAATTCAAAGAATTTGCAAATTAAATCAGTCTGTTACTGTTGTAATGAAAGTAGTGCAAACCACAAATAAAATTATTCACATCATGTTAAAAGTATCACAAACCAGAAATGAAACTGTCTTTTCCAGTCTGCTTCTTAACATATTTGACTACATTTAGGGTTTGGGGGTTTTTTGGTCTTTTTTTTTTTGTTTGTGTTTTTGTTTGATTGTTTGTTTGTTTGTTTTTTTTGGGGGGGGATAAAAATAGTACTAAGCCACTACAGGGATTTTTTTCATACCAAGTTACAGCATCATATTTTTCATATCCTTCAACTCTGTGGTCTGATTTTAAATCAAACTAATAAGCCTACTGACTCCTATTTAGAAAATTTATTAAAATGTTGATGCCAATTTTTATTTATTGGGGCATCAACATTTTTTTAGGTTTTTTGAGAATGACAACTGCTTGCTACTTTGTTACAATTACCGTGTGCTTGATAATATATTTCTTCTGTGAGGCGGTTAACTGAAATTAACAAACCCATTGCTTTACTCTGTGGTGCTTGCAGAAGCTGGATTTCATTACCCAACTGCAATAGTGCTGCCACTAAGAACAGGCTGAGCCAGACATTCCAGACTTGCCTGGGTTTTTTTCCCTTCAGTTGTACTGGCTTTTCTCTTGTACTTGATTTGTGTAAAAACATACATTGAATTTCCTGTGTTTTGGGTGTTCATATAAGAGTGGTTAAAGTAAACTATGAGTAGATTTACCGCTTGGTTTGAATTTGTGTATATGATGCTTTTATCATCTCCCAACTCTTAAAAACCACAGTAATTTTTTGAAGAAAAGTATTTCCTGTGCAGTTTTAGATGTGCCATGAAGCACTTACATGAAGTCAAGGATTGTGTTCTGCTCTTAGTTTTCAGAACTTCACCAATTTTGCTTGAAACTTTGAGCTACAGATTTGGGAAAAAAGGTTTAAATTTAATATATTTTCTCTGTGCGTGCTTTATTATTGTTGTACTGGGACTGAGCAATAAGCATTAAAAAACTCGATTTCTGTTTGTTGTATGGCAGTAAGAAAAGCTGTTTTATCCTACTCAGATATATTTTTCTCCTTGTTTTAATAGATATTCTTCCCAGAATACTAGCTATTTTTGGATAGGAACCTCCACTGGCTTGTTAATAATTAATTTGGCAAACTTTGAATTAGAAGCTGTTTTATCTTACAGAGGTATGCTTAAAAGATATATTATTATATTGTGATTGCTTTTGTTGCCTGACATGAATAATGTAAGAATTAGGTTGTGAAATAGCAGAATACAATAGAAACCAAATGTTTTTAAAAATGTTTTTTTTTCCTAATAGTTTGTGTATATTTTCCTGGCCCTGGTGACTTTTCTCAGAAGACACCTTGGTGCTAGATCTGTGTAGTGACTAGCAGTTAATTTTTATTCAATTTTGCAGTTCATAAGTGTTAAATAAAAATAATCTTATTCTGCTTCATTAAAATTTGAGGGTAAAATAGAATGATATACTCTGAAAACAGTGGATTAGGGTCATGTTAAATTAGTATGAGTGATTTTTTTGTGTTGTCTTAGAGTTAGGTTTTTTCCTTGTGAAATGCAGGTATTATTTTGTTCTTCTTTGGTAAAGATTACAGTGACCTCAGCATTCGGATAGCCAGATCATGTGCATTAACAAGGAAGGCAGCTAATGGAAAGGTGAGTATACAGTAAAAATTGCTTTAATAAATGTTAACAGTTACAGTTGTTTTCAATAAATATTTGCACATTTTGCTAACAGATTAGTGCAGATATGTATTATTTAATGTGACTTGCACAGTAATTTCTTTGAAGAGGGTTGATTCTTCATTATGGAATCTGCTCGTTTGAAGCTCTCACAGGTTATATACAATCCAAAGTGATTAATAAGGAAAAGGTGAATTGTTACAGTGTTCAGGATGTACCTTGAATGTCAAGAATGACCACTGAAGAAGCAGAGCAAATCTTTTAAGAGGAAAAAAAATATATGTTTCTCAAAAAAAAGTTAGGATGTGCTACTTCTAAATCCTTCTAAAGGATCTGTCAAAGCTGTTTGGGTTGTTGTGGGAGGATGGATTGTTGGAGAACAGAGATAGTGCTGAAGGCAATCTTACCCCTGAGGAGTTGCAGCTGTACAAATTACCAAAGAGTAGGAACAGCCTTGCCTTTAACACGTCACAGCTGTGTCCAATAAGGATGGTCCAATAAGGATGGGTGTTATAAAAGCGTGGGGTAGCTGGTGGAGGGTTGGAGTCTGTTGGCTGTGCTGCTGTGAGGAGTAAGGGTCATGTGGTTGTGTTAGAGACAGAAAGGGTCAGGTGTTCATCTTAGGGACAGTAAGTGTTTGTATGTGCTGCTAGGGACAGAAAGGGTCAGTTGGTTGTGATAGAGACGAAGAGAAGTCAGGCAGCTGTGTGGAAGAAAGAAAAGGAGTCAGTGCTGTGAGGAGCTGCTTGTGGGAACCCACAGAGAGAAAGTATGAAAGTCTTACAGCAAGATAATAAACATAACAGTGACAGTCAGTTTCCATCCACCATTGATTGGTGCCAAGCACTGATGCCAACAATTGGTGGCCTGTTTGGGGATGGATCCCAACAGGTTGTGAGAAAATTTCTGTTGAAAGCCACCAAAAGTGAATTTAAGGAAATGGAAGGTATTCTTATCTGTGTACTCTATTTTTGGTTTTGCAGTTTTCCTACAGATGTAAGCTCAATCTAGGCTACATATTTAACATAGAAGTCTTTTGCTTTAGAGGCGGATTTTGTTTAAATTCAGCTCTTAGCATGTTCTCATCATGTTGCTGAAGCCAGTCTTTCTTCCATGTGTGCTTCTTTTCTCACAACTCTTATTGCAGGATTGTCTCTAGTGTAGGTGGTGTTGGAATTTCTGTCACTGTTATGTATGTAAGTTTGTTAAAACACATTTAAGCAATATTGGCATATTTTTGAAGGATAGCTTTAAACACTCTACCACTTAATGCTCTTCACGATTAAGCACATTGTTACGGTGAGCTCATGGACACCCCTTTTGCCCCCCTTTCCCTGGGACCCTGTGACTCTGATCAAGATAACCCCTGGATCCTCCTTCCTGCCCCAACGGGGTTGGCGGAGAGCCAGGCAAGCCCACCCTGTCCAAAACCTAAATAGACCCCTAAAACTTCCTGCTCTCTCTTTTTTGCCCCACTCTCCCATGGACACCACAGAATAAAGAGAGCTGTTCCAACACCCTTGGGGTAAGAGCCTCTTTTGAATACCTTTCCCTCTCCTGGTATTCCTCCCCTCATAGCCCCATATCTCTGGGGAAGTCGGATTATTCGGGGGGCTGCGTAGAGGGGGGGAAAATACAGAGATTACAGCCCATGGATATTTTTGATTAATTTTTATAAATTTCAGAAATTGATTTTACTTTTCATTATAAATGCATTATATTTTGAGCTTAAATTATATTAAGTAAATGGGGTGTTAACTTATGGTGGTTGCTGCAGGTTTTATGCTTGATTGCCTCGATGTTTGAAGATATGATTGCTGTGTTGGAAGTTAAGCTTCCGGCATTAGTGAGAACTCAGCACAGTGATTTTCTCCCATGTGAGAATGAGAAAAGTCTGTCAGTCATTGCCAGGTACAGAATTATTAAATGTTTTCTCTCCATGTTCGATGATAGATTTTTTTTATCTGGCACTACAGTGTATCATATGGTTTTCTACAGTGCTGCTTGTTGACATAGTTTGATTTTGCATCTTTTCTTATCATGCTTTAGTTGTATTGTGAGGGGGAACTCACAGAATAGTTGAATTTGGAAGGCACCTCTTCATGTCATCTTGTCCAACCACCTGCTCAAGCAGAGCCACTTGGAGTCATTTGCCTATCACAATGTCCAAACAACTTTAGAATATGTCAATGGAGAGAGATGCCCCAACCTCTCTGGGTAGCCTGTGCGAGTGCTCAGTCACCTTCACAGTATATAAGTGTTTCCTGGTGTTGAGAGACAACATCCTGTGTTTCAATTTTTGTGTATTGCCTCCAGTCCTGCTGCTGGGTTTAGGGCACAGAGCCTGGCTCTGGAGTTTGCTTTACAGCCTGTACTGCTGCATGGGCTTGTTCATCCCCTGCTGAGAGACTTAGCTTTTCACCTTGTTGAGCTTCAAAAGGTTGCTGTCAGCCCGTTTATGCAGACAATAAATGTCTCCTTGGATGACAACACAACCTTCTGCTCTTTAAGACACTCCTCTCAGCTTTGAGTCATCAATAAGCATGGTGAGAGTCACTCTGCTACCTTATCCAGATTATTAGTGCAGATGTTGAATGGAATTATTATATCCATGGAATCATATAGAATGGAGTTATAACCTCTAGGTTACTCCACTAGTTCCTACTTTCCAACTAGACTTTGATCATCACAGTCTGGGCCTGGTTGTTCATCTGATTTCCAGTCCAGTTTAATGTGTGCTCATCCAGACCACAGCTGATCAGCTTCTCTGTGAGGTTCTTATGGGAGACAGTGTGGAAAGTCTTACTGCAGTCAAAGTTGACAATATCCACAGCTCTTGCCTCATGTGCCAAGCCACTTGTTTTATCACAGAAGTTTATCAAACTGATCAAGCATGACTTCCCCTTGGTGAATCCCTGCTGGTTGTTACTTTCTTGTCCTTTATGTCCCTAGAAATAATTTATGAGAAAATGCTGACATTTTGAAGATGGAAAAAACCCTGCAATATACACTAAAATGCAGACTACCATGCTTAAAATAAAATAATCAGTTAATATTCACAAAACTGGAATCCAGCATGTAAAAGCAATGGTCTGTGAACTGAGTCAGGGCCAAGGCTTGTCTGTGCTGCTGAATATCTGAGATAACTGATTTGCTATGCCTAACTTGTTTTCATTAAAATTTCATTGCTATTGCATGTGTACGTGCACATGTAGACAAATAATTAAAAGCTAGTTTTGGCACCTTTTTCTAATCTGAAATTTTTGTTCTTTGCACTGATCAATTTTTTTGTGCTTCATTTTATAACTTAGGGGTACTTTATTGGCAAATTCTCCATTGTGTAAAAATTTAAAGAAGAACATGAGAGGACCTTCTAGTAAAACACTTGGTAAGTATAAACCAATCCTGAAATTAGTTAATAAACTTATATTTTTAATAACAGTAACTGAAATCCAGTTGGCTTGTGCCTAATACAATCAGTAAGTAAATTTTTGTTTTAAATATATATTGCATTATATTTTCACTTCAGTAGGAAGAATTTTAGACTTCTATTAATGTTTCATATAATACATATGTAATCGTAGTTAAAAATTATGGTTATAAGTATTTTTCTTTTTTCAAAAACTATTGTCTGAGAATTTTCTGTGAATTTTAAGTGTTAGAGTGTAGAAGTTTTAAATTTTTGTAAGCCATTCTTTTTCCATAGCATGCAGTAATTTTTTCTGTATAAATTGTCATTTCTTTATTAACTTTGATTATGCAATATACCAAACAGATGCTTTGGTGTATTTTTGTTGTTCTAAATAATCTTCTGCCAGTACTGGATGTTTAGGAAGTTAATTTTTGTCTCAATATTCTACTGCTTAAAAGAAGAGATCTGATGTCCAGTTACCATTGAAGCACTTGTAGCTTCTTTTGATGAGCAACAATCCTTACCATTTGCATGTATTTTGCTCGTTAATTGTCAAAGGTTATATCTCTAAGGTTTTATGGTATTTTCAGAATATATCTACAGAGTTTTATCTAGAATTCCAGGCTGCCTTGGACACCTAGCACTGACAAGTGTGCTGCCTTTGTTGACATCCCATGACCAGATGGATAAATACTGTAATGAAATCCTTTGGTCTCTTCAGGCATGTGTTACTGGGAGCTTCTCAGGAACGGCCTTTTTGTGCCTCATTACTGTATAAAGAGAAAGGATAGTTAGTGGTATTTGATGGGACTTCTACCCTCAACATAAGTAAATGTGTCCCAATGTATCTGGGTTTTTTCCCTTGGAATATCAACAAAATTTCCCCCTTTAAAAGGTTTATTTGTTTAGTTTGTTTCTGCTGATATGAAATACTCAGTTTGGAGCTGAGGGGCGCCCACTGGGCTTCCTAGTACAGCACTGAGCATGCTGATATTAGCCATGGTCTGAGCCATCCAGGAGCACAAACACTTTTAGGTAACCCACCAGGCAGCTTGTTCATGATCTTTAGATCCATTCCTTAGTCCAGATATAGGCTGTGAATACATTATAGCTAATGCATACAAAGTCCAAGCAGAGGAAGATAGAAAACACTTTTCTAACTGAAATGAATGGTGAAAAAAGTGATTCAGAACAGTATTCTTGCTACTTCAAAGTTTAAAGAAGTTTCTACTTATTCATATAAGTACGAGGAGGGATGTTATACCATGTAACAGTTCATATATCTTTCCTTTTCTCAGTCATCATTATTTTAGGGTGATTGGTTGTTTGTGTTTTGTAACATAAGGAAATAGTTTTGCACAATATAAATACTTAATATCTACTTTAAAAGTAAAAATATAATGTTATAAAAACATTTTAAGTAAATTTAATTATTTCCCTACAGGAGTAAAGAACACAGTGAAGGATAAACCATTGGTTTTCCATAATAAAATTAAGTCATCAGGATATACAGCAGCACCACAGTGAGTAGAAATATTACTACTTTCCCTGCCTTATTGGTGTGTGATATTTTTTCACATAATTATGTAGGCTCATGACTGTGAAACTAATCACCTGTGAAAAATAGTAATGATATTATCAAAGGAAATAATTTTAAAAACATATTGTAAACCAAAACGTTCACAGCTTCTAGTCATTGGCCAACTTCTTTTTGAAATCCCTATTTAGTGGCCAGGTTCTTTAATCTGACTGGACTCTTGTTTTTTTCAGCTTGCAGAAAGTATTGTCTGAGAACTTTATTTGTATGGATTTTGACATTCAGAATGTGCTATTCAACAAATAACTCACAGAAATCAAGGTCTAATCTCAGGCATTAGAATATTAGACATTTATATTTTCATCAAAGTGTACATTCTCTTATCTATTGACATTACCTACAGGTGGAAATAGGTTGCTTTTGTTTGAAAAAAGCTGTTTCTCCTATGCAAAGTTTAACATTTCATTATAAGAGTGTATGTTTTCTCTCTTGTAGCATGACCATGTTTTCTCCAAATACTAACCTGAAAAAAAAAGAGGCATCAAAGTGGAAGACCAGTTGTAAATGGTAAGTCATCTAATGGCTCTGTTAGCGGAGGAACAAATTAACACAAATTAAATTAAAAATGTTTCTGTTGTTGGAACTTTTCAGTAAAGGTTGCCACTAGAATTAAGGCTTGGTAAATTTGATATAAAATGTATTGCTGCAGCAAGTGATTTGGTTTATCAGACTGTGAATTAAATTTGAGTGCTTCATATAAAAGAAAATATGCATATCTATTTTCTTAGATTTGCGTTGGTAGGAAGAACAGGTGCCAAATATAGTTGGAAGCGGAGTCCCTGCAGTTCTAGTCCAAAAAATAACTGAATATGGCACTGGGAGAAGTGATTTCAGATCGTGTCCCTCATACACCCCTAAAATCTTGTTACCTAAATTTAATGCAAACTTACTCTAATGAGTTTATACAGAGTATATGTAATAGTGCAAACTGACCAGTGGACTTTTTATCACTGGTCACAAAGAACAAAAGCTTTTCCAAAGCTGGCATTTTCATGTTAATGTATATGGAATGTTAAATGGGGATATTGCACACATTTTTTCTCATTACTATTATATACTCTTTGCTTTATATAATACAAACATGACAGTAAAGAATGATTGGTGCCATAATTTTTCTCATTTAAAAAGAGCTGGTAAAGTGTTAAGAAACCCATTTAATAGCTCAAGACTAAGTTTTTGTGTACCTTGCACACATAGGAAGACTTTACATGAGTACTTGAGATAATTTCAACTTTGGTTTTGGCACTGTTTTATATAGGTTAAGCTACTTAGTGTTTTAAGTTTCATGTGGGTTGCTTATTTAAATTGCTTTTTTTAAGTTAATATTGCATTTTGGCACAAGGTCTTTGTAAACAAGGTAGAATTTAGATTCTTTAAGTGCTTTTGTGACTTACATTTTCTGGCAAAAAAATAATTTTAGTTCTTGATCTTGTGAATTCACAATTCTTACTGGAAGGAGTAGTTCAAATATAACAATTTACAATGAGTTTGGCTCTTACATTGGAGTTGACATATTTTCTCCAGCAAATATTTATATAAAGATGTTTGGAATAATTCCCAAAGCACATTTATTTCATAACTGAAATAAAGATGTAATAGTTTCTTTCTGTTTTCCTTCTTTGAAGTAAAAATAAAGACTATCCATTGGAAAGTTATCCTCCAATCAAATATGAGAAAGAGATATCTGTTACTTGTAAACCAACCCCAATTTTTTGTGTTCAATATTCTGGTAAGTACAAGCTTTATAAAAAGTGCAGTTGTGACAGTGTGCAGAAATACAAAATTTGTGTAGCATAGTTTCTAAAGACAGGGATTTTACTGTGGATAAAAGAGAAAACTCTGGCAGTACCACATACTGTTTGATCATAATTTTTTATCATGCAAAACCATGCAAACTGTTGCTACATATGCAACAGGATTCTATTTCTGATTTTATGTCTTGTTTCCTTTTGAACTTTTTCTTTGACTTTCTCACTACTACTTGAAAACTAAGAGTTCTTTCACTAAAGAATTTATTTTCTAACACCCTTGGTTTCATTAGGGTATATTAAATACTGAAGTTGTGTTTCAAAAATACTCATATTTATTATATATTATTCAATTATTGTAAATTGAAATATTAGAAAAAGAATTCTTCTGTGTGATCCAAAGAGAGGCATTTTTGTTAACTGCTTTGGATAAATGACTCTTGCAATAGGTTTAGTCAGTTCCAATGTAAATCTGATTAAGCAGAAAGCACTTCCTAGATTAGCAATCAAGCATTCTACCATGTATATAACTATGCCAATGTACACCCTGCAAGGCAAAATATTTCAAAATATTTCAAAACTTAAAAATTTGTGTTTTGAGGACAAGAAAAACTTTTATCCTCAGTAAATAAAAGTAATTAGATGTGATCAGTCACTTTGCTAAAATATATTCCAAACATCTCTGTTCTCTAGAGAGTTTTACTAGTATGTTTTAAGTATAAATCTTTTAGTTTGAGGAAGAAACACCTTTCTTTTTCTTTTTGTCTCTGCCACATCCATGCATGTACACACAGGCTTAAATAAGCCCAGTTAAGCAAAAATTTCAGATTTTTTTTGAGTTAAAGATTTGTTATTTAGAGAATGTCAGGACAAGAAATGAATTTGCCTACGAAATCCTACCAAATTCTGCAACACTAATTTGTAATGTCAATAAATAATGTTAAATGTATGAAATTAATATCTGGGTTTTGTTTTGTTGTAGTGGCCTACATGATTTTTTATGATTAAAAGAAGCACCATATTGGCTCCTTTTTGCTTTCAGATGTAAATCATTAAATTATCTCCTTTTTAGGGGATGGAGAGCGGCTGGCTTGTGGCCTGGCTGACAAAACTGTGCTGGTATTCAATTCCAATCTCACTGATGTGCATGATGTTTTTTCAGGTAAATTTATGAATTATATTATAAAAAGATATACTATATGGTTGAGTTTGCTCTAAAATGGCATGGATTCCACTTACATCACCCTGATAACAAGAAAGAGGGAGTATTGATGATTTGAGATGTAAAAGTTCTGATTGCTTCATTTTGTCCTAGAATGAAACTGACTTCCAGGTGTTCCCATTTCTCATTTTTTTTTTGTGGGGTAAGAAGCAATCTATGATGATGTATACAGAAATCTTCACCATGATGTATATATAATATGTATTACAATAATTAAAGAGAAAAAGACAATATATTGCAATAATAATGCATGTATATATTGTAGCAGTATATTCTGATAGTTTATTAGCCAAAAATTGACTGTGACAACTTGGCAAAAGATGTGTTTGCTTTGCAACTCCAGACTTCTTGAGAATAACCATTTAAACAAAGAGGGACTATTCCTCAGGAGAAATCCAAAACTACAAAAGTGTATTCATGTGTAAACATGTATGTTTTTAAAAGAGTCTTAAACACCAGATTATGTCTAAATTTATACAGGAACAATCTGTTAAATTTTTAATAACTGTAAATGTTATGACTTTAAATCAACCCTGCTGCATGCATTTTCTGTGAAAACTCATAATAGAAAATAAATGTTTTTTACTATCTGACCCTAATAAGTATTAAAACCAGACTACTTAAAGATATTGTGGGGAATTATTTCTAAGTAAATAACTCTGAAAACTGATTTGTGAAAACAGCTTTTAATTTTGAATAATTTTCATTATATTTAGTGCAAGAAGTGACATTAAGGAGGCAACATTACTGATATTATCCTTCTTGTGAGAGGAAATTAATGAAAATATGCCTTGCAGACAGAATAATGAGACCTTTTTTTCTAAAATAGCAAGTTCTTGAATTTTTCACTGACTTATTTCATTGATGCCTTTAATAATTTGTCTTTTTTTTTTTTTTTAATAATGCACAAGTCTGAAAAGCAATGTAAACCACATTCTAACATTTATGTAGTTCTTTCCAAAAGAAACATAAATGTTGAAGTGCCAGGTAAAGTAATGCGTGGGATTAGGAACCACAAACCATTAGTTGCCTGTTTGCTTCATTCACATTGTTTTTCTGTGTTGTTCAGACTACCATGCAGTCACCTGTTTACTTTCTACTTTTGATGCTCTTGTTTTATAAGTGTCATAATATGTGTTTTCATGAAAAACCATGATGCATTATTCTTAGAGTTGTAATCAATGGCAATGTAAAATTTTTTCTTCAAGAAATGGAAATTGTGTCCTAAAAAATTTCAGTTTCAAGGCTGCATTAGCATCTGAATATTGCTGCTTATCAAAAGTCATAAGGCAGCATCAGAGGAATGGTATAATAGCAGTTTTGCTGTTAGCCTAATTTATGCAGTCTTGTTCCCTGAAGGGTTGAGTTGCAGATTTAAGTAGCTCTGCATTCTTCTTCAGCAGTGACTCTTCAGGCGTCCGTGTCCTGCAGTGAGGTGCAGGTAATGCTGAACAGCTGTAAAGGGTTACAGCTAACATGGCCTTTCCGAAGAAGTCTCTTTACAAAACCAGCTGCTTTTCTTCTCAATGTGCTCTAGGGCTGGGGAGCCCTGAGTAATGCCTGTTTTGAATTTTACTGGGCTCTTTCAAGCCAGCTGGCATCTCCTTCACTGTACTTTGGGATTGTGGGGCCTGGAGAGCAGAGATTCTTAAGCTTTTTCTGTGGCTCTTCCAATTTTCCAAACCTCAGATTTTCCTAAAGTTTCTCAGGTTCCTTAATACTTCGGAAAACTGCTTTGTATATTCTGTTGTGGTTTTCTTTTTTTGTTTGATTGGTTTTGTGTGTTGGTCTTTTTTCTTTTATGCAGATTATTCAAGGCTTCCAAGTGTTTTTAGAAAATCAAAGCCTTTAAATAAATCTTTCTGTCATGAACAAAATAAGAATAATACTTACATGTGTATTTGTGCAGTACCTGTGCAGTTTTCTGGTGAACATTCTACAGCTGTTTGGTAACTGGGAATTAAAATATCTCATAAGACTTTTTGTAGAGATATGCAACGCAAAATAAAGTATCTCAATTGCTGCAATATATTTAATAGCCTTCCTGTAATTTAAAGCAAACTATTTTTTTAATATAAAACTTCTGTTAAATAAAGATAAAATGTGCACAAGAGGGCAGCATAAGAACTTTGAATGTTTTAAGGCTAGATGAAATTAATCAGATTTCATCTGACAAATTGCAATAACATGCATCAAAGTCTGTAAAATTTGATTGGCATGTTCTTTTTTGATCTTTTTTATCAGCTTCAACATAATGCTAGATAACATTAATAATTTTAGCTTTTGACTTTTGTTTCTGGCTTTTCAAATTTTCTTTGTAAGATTGCAATCTTGTTTTTAACAAGCTATTGAAGTGGTATGCTCATTTTATTTTGACAAAAATAGCTAGCTCAGGAATAAAAGGTTAATAAAGAAAACAGTATTTCAATTATTTTGATGTCTTAAGGGGTTTCCAGACCATGTTTAATATAAAGCTTCATTATAAATATAATACTCAGATTTTTTTCCAATACTGAATATTTGCTTAAATTTAATTTCAAGGGTATTTCTTGAGAGTGCTCTCCCAGTAACTTTTAAAAATTACGGTTGGAATTATCTTTGTCTGTTTATTGAGATATTTTCATGGGTTTTTTGGTGGGAGAAAATGTCAATAGCTGGTTTACTGTTGCCAGTAATCCAACCACTTGAAACCCATACTTAGAATATATTTTAATGTTGTGCATAATTATATTAATACAAGTAACTCTAGAGAAATTTATTAATGCAAGAGATGAGGTTTATATAATTTCCATTATTATTTTTATTAGGTCATGATGGTGCAGTTAACTCTGTTGGCTGGAGTCATGACAGGAAGTGGTTAGTTTCTGCATCAGAAGACAGAACTTTAAGAGTCTGGTCAGTCTACAATAAGGAACCTGCCCTAATTCTGGTAATTGGAAACTTCCATTGATTTGGACACAGAGAACACTGTTTTGCATTTTCATCTACTTCTGTTTTAAAAGCTTTGTAGAACAAATCTATTTCTAGAGCTATTGAGTGGTGACTCCCGCTGATATAATGATCTGAGCGATCTCCATTGACTTCAAATTAGGTTTTTCTCATGACCACTTAGGAAAAGAAAAATCAACCTTGTTAAAAAAAAAAAAACAACCTAGTGGGCATGTCTGAAAGTTTTGATTTTATTGTCTGGCCTGTATTTTGTATTTTCATTGGTTCAGCTCTGCTTGCCTTTAGTCCCCTCCCCAGTTCAAAGAGAAGTTCAGAGTATTAAGCTAGAGTGTATTAGATTCAATTGACTACAAATATACTGCCAGCTAATTTAAGCAGAACAAAATATTTTTTTTGAGAGTAATAGATGTCAAAAATAAGCAGGGCCACTATGTAGCAGTAGCCTCCTGGCCTATGATCAGGATGACAGGAAGGCTCTGCCTTAACACAAGGAATCTCAGACAGAAAATACGTATGTTTGAATCCGTTCTTGATAAATTCCTTTATGTTTCAGGGTAAAGAGAAGTTCCATAAGACTGCACGCTTTGCACAGTTTTATTTTATAGATACTTTTATATTGCTGTGCTGTGGAGCTGAATTTCATCTATTAAGCTTCCATCTAGACACAACCAAGGATGACTTAAAACGGTGAGTTCATTTTTCATTAACAGACCAGTGAAAGTAGTCATACAGTTTGATCTGGGACTGTGTGTGGGGTGAGGTAATCTGAGGGGGCAAAAATATTACAGAAGATAAAAAACTGAACAACTGGTAAAAGTTACTTCCAAAATACCTTTGTTTTGAATGGAAGAACAAAAAAAATTAGGGCTACAACACTGAAATCTTAGTTGATATTGTAAATGGTATGTCCTGTCTGTTGATGATATTAGACAGCATTGGACTGCATCCTTAGATGGGAAAAGCTGGTCTATTTCCTTCCTCTATTTCCTTGGTAATTTTGCTGCTGCACAGAAAAACATACTAAGTGCAAGTTTAAATATGTTTAGTAATAGGAGTGCTTTCCTGGATTGAGGCATGAACCTGCTATGTGGAACTTCACTGAAATGTTATATGGTCATACAGAATTATGGAATAGTTTTCTTCCATAATCTGCCTACCTGGTTTTACTTTTTAATTCTTAGTTAATGGAGATACTAATAAACCAATAGAAAGGTAACCCATGTTGCTACATAAACTTCAATTTCTAAGAGACAAGAATGAATGTACAGTGTCCAGCTCAGTGTGTCCACAATACCTGCCTGAATTTTCAATGAGCTGCACTGTAGATTGAAGACATATAGGACATGTAGTAAATACATTCTGTAAAAAATATGCTAAATGTGGCAAAATTCCTCTTTTTTTTTTTTTTTTAATAATGGGCACCCTTCTATTTTCCCCACCTCTTTTACTTTAGTTCAGTTTTCTCATAACTTGTGTTTGATGAATCTCAGTTTACTGTTCATTGATTTGCTTTCTATGTGAAATTCTACCTGTACCGTGCCTTGTGAGGTATTTAGCTGTGTAACAGCCTGCAGTGTAGAAGCAAGGTACTTCAGCCCATTCAAACAATTGTTCTTGCATTTGGGAAAAAACTTAACTGTCTTAATCAGCCTCTTTCAGCAGGGTAAATTGGACCAGAGGAAACTTCATACTGCCTTCATTAGATTGTACCTATTTTATCAGTCAGCTTATTTAAAGTTAGCTTGGATAGATTTACCCAAAAATAGAGATAAATAATTTGCTCTTGAAGTCTAGTGCAGTTTATTTATTTAGCAGTCTACTGCTAAAGTAGTTCTGATGTCCATCTGAAGAGACCAGCAGATCATTGTTAGAGAATGAAAGAAAGGCAAAAACCAAATCACTAAGCATTTTTCTTTTGAACAGATCTGGCTGACAACCATATTGCTTTTGTCAAATGATCTCAGTTTTGCAAACTTTTAGCATTGTTGAAAAGAAACAGTAATGATTCTTACACCATGTCATGCATGTACTTTTGCATTTTCATTAGACAGACGTGCTAAAATGCAAGTATAATATTAACTGTCATCCAGGAATTATTTTAACACTGTGCAGACAGTATCCAGCAATGACTAAAACCCTGGTGTGTTATCAGTGCTGTTTTGATCTCGAGTCTAAAACACAGCACCATACAAGCCACTATGAAGAAAACTAACTCCACCTCAACCAGACCCAATACAGTTGTTATTAACTCTGTATTCCTAAGGTGACTTCTATGAAAATCACACTCTTCTTGCCCCACATATCCATGGACTTATGTTTTCTGTTTACTACAAGAATAGATCCATGCTGCCTATGTGGATATATTTCAGTAATCAAAGTTCTAATTATATTGAATAACAGCACAGTTTTGTGTTGTCTAATAAAGTCTGAAGCCATTTTAGAGGTTTTCACATGTTTGCCACGTCTGCATGGAGCTGGTAGGTAACCCACAGGACCCTAAAGAGTTTTGTATATGTTGGGAAGCAAAATTTCTCTGATAGTGTGTGATCAGTCCCTCATTCTCCTCACGTCTAAGTGGAAATTATTCTTTCCTCACTGTTTTCATTCTTTTCTCACTGTTTTCTCCTCATTTTCTTCCTGATTGCCCTATCATCAGAGCATTAAATGCTACACTGAAACTAGAGGTATATCTGCTTTCTGAACATAGGTACTTGACAGACTGTAATCTGTTCAACATTTTCGGTGTACATATGGGATTATTTTAGTGTTTCATTTGTTGGAAAATCAGTCTTCTATATATGAATATCATGGGGTTTTTTTATCCAAATGAGTTTGGTTACCAAGTTTTTAACAGAGCTCAACAATAAGGCAAAAGTTCTGTTGCTTAAATTTTAAAAAATGAAAGAAAGCATTTTGATTTGTGGTTCCAGTGGGAGTTTACAAATCATAACCAATTTCATTAACACTAGCATTCATTTGATGATATTCTTTGTAGGTACAAACAGAGGAGTGTTTGCAAATTGGTACAGAAATTTCCCATGACTTCAGCAATGGAGATTACCAGCCTTTCAGCAGTAAATGAGTTCTATTCTTGTATCCTTTGTATTTCTTATTTTCTTTGTAGTTCTTTGGACTTAATGATATGGACGTCAGCTAAAGTAAGTAGCATTTGATGATTTACTACTCCTTTTCTATTGGAGTAAAAAGCTTGTAATTTTTTGTGATGTTGTTTTCTTTATCCTTAGACATAAATTTTTAGTGTTGTAAGATTTTTGGTATTGCTCATAGAGCAATAAATACAAGAGAGTTTATATATATGTTTATCTGTATTTTTATCTGTCTATATGCTTTTGTTCCTTTAGGCAAGTTTAACTTTAACACAGAACTGTACAGATATTGTACTTACAGCTGGCAGCAATCGAGCATTGGAAGTTTTTGACCTCAATGTAGGCTGCAGCACAGCAGTGATACAGGAAGCTCATGTTAGATCAGTCCATCAGATCTGTCAAAATAAGGTATACGCTTTATTTAATTTTATTTGTAGTATCACTACAACATCATCAACAATGAAATCAGAGGCTAAAACTAGAATTGACAGTAATCAGTATGTTTTTATATGTTGGGGAGGATGGGCAAGAACACGAGTCTGTGATAAGTCCATACAGATTTAATTTGTTCTCTAGTTTAAAAGAGGGAGCAGTGAGACTGATTGAATGATCTTGCTACTAGAGAATTGTTTGTCTTTTGCCTTGTGCTAGACTGTAATACTGTAGGTCAACAGGAATGTTTCCTTATGTAAGTGTTCTCTTCTGAAGATCAATCTGACACTGTGTGATTTATTCTGAAACTTTGGGAACAGCAGCAGCAAAAAAATTCTCAGTACTACAATAGAATAGATGTCTTAAAATACCTCATCCTTGCTCTTCTTTTTTTCCTTGAAGACTGATTTGAGTGTTTGTAGTTCTTATGGTAGTATATATTCTGGAATGCCTGCTGTGTTAGGTCTGGTTGAATGTGGTGCTTCATTCTCAGTTGGAAAGTCCTTGCTTCTGTGGGTTTAAAACAGTCCTTGTTATTACTGTTGTAGAACTCTTTGTGGGTTTTCCTTATAGATGTGATCTGGTAAAACACTTAAAATTGTGCTAACTATTTCAGTACTCTTTGTAACACATATAGGCTTAAAGTTCTGGCTTTTCTTTTTGCTGGGTCAGCTTAGTGCCTTCAGGTTATTTAATCAAGAAAAACATTAAAGCTGTGGGCAACTACTCACTTGGGAAAAAAAAACTAGGTATATGTGGTATAGCAAAGAAAACTAACCCTTTTGTGGGACAATTATACATCAAAGTTTTCTATTTTTTCAGTTATGTAAGACTAATACTTTAGATAAGTCAATAGGAAAATTACACATCAACTATTTTATTACATTTGATAGTTTAAAGTTATTAGAGAAAATTAGACTTATAAAAATGTGTCAAATGCTGTGTGCAAACTACATTCTGTTTGAAGTATGAAACACATTGGAATCTAAGGTTCTTTAGTGATGAGACATGATTCAATGGAAACAAACCTGTGGGGAGAGAGTTCATGCTGAAGATCTGGTGCCTACATCCCAAAATTTATGAAGGCTTTCGTTTGGACTATTCTTAGTCTCATTGTGTGGAGTAAATACTCATTTCTGATTGCAGTGTGTATATTCTTGAAGTGCATTTTCCAGTTTAGATTCATGCAAATCTGTTCTCATGTTCCAAGACAGTTTTGTGATTCACTTGGAAAATTAAGTGGGCATAATAATAAAATTTACTCTTTAAATGAATAAAAAAGCAAATTTATGTTGAGGGTCATGGAAAATGATAGGGAAAGTATGTTCCAATTAAATGCTGGAGAACCCTGTTAGCAAATTATAAAATATGCAGGATATCCTGGAAACCTAGATAATCAGTGTGACATTCTCTTATTTTTGATTTTAGACAAAACAAGCTGATGCAAGTATATATAACTTGCCATGTAATGACTTTGGTTTTAAATTTTTCTTTTGATCTGTCCTAGAGATTTTTTGCAATTGCCGGTGTGTACGACATTCATTTCAGTCTTCAGTGTTTTGATTAAGCTTATTATAGCAGTCTATTACTTTTTATACTGAATTTTAAGAGACATAGTAAAATGAATTGATTGACATATCAAAATCCTCTTCCTGCCTCAGAGTTTCGGAACATCTGAGATACCAAAACAGATGTTAATTTGAGATCGGACCACAAAGATTCAGAGCTTTAGTGTAAATAATGCATTTGTAAAGGTGTAAAGCATATTCTTTGAAGAGAAAACTGTCATTGTGAGCCAAAAATATTTGGATGGTATTATGTTCTACTAGCACAGTTGCAGAGTATTCATTTTCACAGAAACAGCAAAATTTTCAATTTTCTGTTCAGACCCTTTTGTTTCAAAATTCATTGATCCATTAGTTAGGAAGTCTACTTGATGTGAAGATTGAAAAATGCAATGGGTAACTCTAAAGTTTCAGTCAGTTAACTTTTTCCTAACCATAGTTACAATGTTGGGAAAAGTATGAGATCACCAGAAGGCATGGAATGCTTTCTGATATGTCTATTGATAGATGCCTTTAGTATAAACTAGCTGCACTTAGATGACATAAATGGTGCTCATAAGGAATTAGTGAAGGAAAGCAAGATTCTGTAGAACCATATTCTCCTTGAGGCCAAATTTTATGTGAAGGTTACAGTGTAGTTAATCTAGAGAGAAACTGAGAAGGGATTACAGTGGTGGATGAGGATGCTGATGGGGTAGAAGAAAGGGATTTGTCTATCAGAATGAAAGAATAGTTCCAAGTGTGTGGGATTTTGCTACTTTTTGCATCAGATTCTCATAAATAATAGGGTATCACAAATTGATGGACTATAAAAACACAATTTAGTGACAAATAGTGATAAAATTCAGCAATTCAGCTTGCATATTATCCCAACTAGTATTTTTTTCTTGTCCTCCTATATCAATATTCAGTAGCAAATTTTGACGTTTGAAGATACAAGTGCATGTATTAATAAAGTATATTACTGACAAAAATTCAGAGCAGAGAAGGAAAAAATGGGTTGCACTTCTTACCTTTAGTTTTTTCCTGTATTCTCTAGTAAAGGAATAATGCAAAAAGTAAGTGTGCATGTGTCTGTAGAACTTTTTGTTTCAGACTCTTGTGACTAGTGCTGGCTGAAGTGAGGGATGGCAAGCAAATATTTCAAAAGCACAAAAATGGATGCTCAGTAACTTTTAATGAATACTGTCCTTTGGACTATTACTGTCTTTTGCATGACTCTTTTTCTTATTGTTATACAGAGCTAATGTGGGAATGAGTAATCTTTGTTGGGAAATATGTTGCACAGTACATTTTAACTCATCTCTTAGAGCAAGCTATGCACCAGCTTTCATAATGAATAGAAGATTCCTGGCAGTCAAATACTGATTGCAGGGAATTACCTTGTGGTCCCTGTGATGCATTCAGCCAAATCAAGAAAGTGAATGGTAAGGAAAGGAAAGAAAGTGTGTTTAACTGTTTCAGTTTGGTTCCCTGAAGAAAGAAGTTTGTAGCCAGCAAAAAGGCTGGGATGTGCCAATGTGGATGTTAAAGTATCAGAGGTTTAAACTGGATTTAATTATTTAAAAGTATGAAGCCAAAATTAGTCTTGTGATGAATGAATGCAATTGCTACTGAAGTCAATGGAAATTGGACACTTAGCCCAGGGCTAACAATGTCTTATAATCAATTGTTGAAGTAACCTTTGCTCCCTCCCTTTCACTGCCCGTATTTTATTCCCTAAACATCCTGTAATGTCTTGTGCAATCACAAGATGATCTTTCCCTGCTTCATGTGATGGATCCCCTACCCTGATTTTAGTAATCCCTATCAGTCTGTGAGATGCCCCAGATGGCCTGTCTCACTGACTGTCCTGGTGGGTGTCACCGCTAGACCAAAGGGCTCATGGCTGTCCTGGGACAGCACTGAGAGGAGCCAAGGCTGTGCTCCATTTCTCTGGCCGGGTTATGGGACTTCCTCTACATGCTCTTTGCATGCTTTTCCTCTTTTCTGTGTGTGCAGACAAGCTTTTTTTCACATAATCTAACAAATATTTACTGTTTATTTCTTAGATGGACTAAATTCTCCACTGAGACAGTTGTTGGTCACTGGACTGGATTCCCCAGGGAAGTGGTCCAAGCACCAAGCTTGTCAGAGTTCAGGGAGCTTCTGGACAATGCTCCTAATCATATGGCATAATTCTGCATGGAGCAGGGAGTTGGACTCTATGATTCCTATGGATCTCTTCCATCTCAAGATATTCTATGAATAATTAATGCCATTAGAATAGTTACCTGAAAATGATTTATTGTTTTACAGGGATCATCCTTCACCACCCAGCAGCCTGAAGCTTACAACCTTTTCCTGACCACAGCTGCAGGTGATGGCATCAAACTGTGGGATTTAAGAACACTGAGGTAAGAATGAGTTAGGTACCTTGGAATAAAAACCTATGTTTTATTGTTATTCAGAATTCATACTTGCTCTCATATACCAGTAGAAATTTAGATGTGGAATCTGAACTACAGGTTAATTGGAATCTGAACTACAGGTTAATTGAAGTTTGCTAGTTTTTAGAGACCAAACATAGTGCTTATTCCTCAATTATAGTTATGTGGAAGCCATTAAACATTTAGGATTGATCACCTATGTTTACCCACATTTGTACATCTAATTGTATATGTATATATAATGGTGCACTGAACTGAATGTTAATGGTATTTCCAAAGCAGCATGCCATTACTGCTAAAAGAAGTAAAATCTATCTTTTAAAATATAAGCCAATTGCAACAACATTTTTATGAACCATGTATGTAGTGCTATAAGTTCGCATGATACATTACCATAAGCTCAGAATTAAATGCTACACAGTTTCTAAACACCTTTCAGTTTTGGGAAAGCCTTGGGACAAATGAATAGACCACCAAGGGGGGAACATTGCTCAGGAAAAGTAATACCTGGGGCAAGCTCTGTTGTGGAGGCCAAAAGAATTATGTTTAAAAGAAAAGGGGAGTATGTTTAAGCTTTAAAGTATAATTTCCTATTTGCTTTCTTCTGTATGTAAACATATCTATGGAAAGATGTCATATATCCTTTTCTAGTACTGAATTTTCTATTTGGGCAATCCTTAATGGGCCTTTCATTTACTTCCATCTTTATGTGGTAAGAATACATTAAGTCTATAGGGGGCATATGTGTTCTTTGCAAAATCATTGCTGTATTACCTTCATTCAATGCCAGAAAGTAATGAAACTAGAGACTACTGGGGTTGGAATATGTTACCTTCTTATGTTTTTCTAATAAGCTGCTCAAACTGTGTTGTTGAAGAGTAATGAAAAAGTAGAAAGCTTTTCACAGATCACTTATCTGTCTCTTTGTTTCTAAATACTAATATAAGTAAAGTCAGTGAATGGTAAAATAGTTAGTGTAAAATCTGGGCAATCAATTAAATATGTCTTGAGAAGAAGGAACAAATTTATGTATGTTCTTGCTGTATGTTTCATTTGGCTAGGTCAGTGTATTCTAGTGTCTGCTGTGTTCTATTAGCCAAGCTTCAAAACGTAGTTTAAGTCCTTAATGACAGATATTTTAAGGGCGCTTTTGAGGTACTATGTATATGTGTGTTTGTTACACACTACAGTGACCAGCAGTATTAACTCTTGTGGAGAAGCAATAGAAAAAAACTTGTTTTTCACTTGTTAGCAATTTTCAAGGAAAAAAAGAAAAACCACACTTTTAAAAATGAAATTTTCTGCCATTGCTCAGACTGAGTCTTATAGAGACTGAGTCTTCTATAATTTAAAATCTGTTCCTGAATTCTCGAAAGGAGTAAAACTGTTCAATTTTTCCTATGTGTTCACCAGGTGTTTTTCACATAAATAAATTTTAAATGTCTAAATTTGGAAATGTCTGAACTTGGAACAAGTATCTGCTGAAGTGTTACGTCTACTATAGTTACACAGACTGAACACTTATTTTTTTGTTCATAGGTTTTGTCCAATCAAATCCAGTCCATCCCTTGCACTGTTGAGTACTTACAGGAGAGATTAGCTCCTAAACAACCTTATGATGGGCCAGTACCTTTAATCTCTTGATGTTGTTGATTTGTAAAGTTGGTGCATCAACAACTATTTCCAGTTCCTTTGGAATGATCTCTTTGTTTCTGCTTTGGGTTTGCCAGAATAGGGTTTGTTTAGTGAAATCTTTGTCCAGTGTTCTTGCAATATAGCAAAGGTAAGTCCACCTTCTCATTTATACTGTTTGCAGTACTGTGGATAGTAACACTAACTCCAAGATATCCACTTTGTTTGTTGATTTTTGTTCTAAATGTCTTCCCTAGATGTCCACAGTGAAAATTGTTTTGCTTTTCTTTAATCCGTTTGTTGCCCTTGAGAATCTATCCATTGTTACTTTATATAAAAATTCTGTAAAGTATGAAATTTTGATTAAATAAGGGGGGAAAAATCCCTTCAGCACAGTGCTCTTCAATGCTGCTGTTAAAAGCTTGGAAAATAATTTGCAGAATAACTGCACATTTTCCTTGGACTCTTAAGGGGTTTTTTTATTCCATTTTTTTTCTAATTCCTCTTCATATGACATGCATTCATTTTCTCACAATTGACTGAAGAATCATAGCAGGATGTTCTGGTTTCTTTTTTGATCTTCATAGATTAAATCTTCAAACAGGCTGACCTGGCCTATAGCTTTATAAGCTTTGGATATAGTGATATTTTTGCTTTGAGTTCTACCAAAATTTTGCAACCAACCAAACCCAACCTGTGTTATCAAACTACAATTTTTTTTTTTTTTCCAGGGAAAATTAATTTAACTTTTCTTATGTTCTTGAGTTTGGTGAAGTTATTTTGCAACTTCAATTTTCGTTGTCTTTTTTGGATAAAGCTGTGAATTTGTCTGTCTCTTTCACTATGGATGATCTGGAAGCATTCTAAGATTCCTTCAGAGAGTGCCAAAACGTCTCATGGGTTCCTCTGAAGGTGGTACAAGAAAAGACATTTTTACTTTCTGATGTTGTCGGCCAACCTCATACAGCCAGGTCATCTTGCCAATAAATGAGGGAGTCTTGGACACTGCTAGTGGCTTTTGGATTTACTTGGACTCCTGCTCCATTTGCTTTGAAATGCATGGATTTGTAAAGTTTCATCTGAAGACTCTGAATCTTTATTAGAGCTCTCCTGTATTCTCCTCATTTATGACTAAAGCTAAGAAAAGCTCCAGATGATCTACAAAACAGACTTAGGAATAAAGAAGCAAGGAAAATAGTTTTTCTTGGAAGAAGAAAACTATGGCTACTCTTATTCCAGGTTAGGATAATGAACTATGAGACCTTATGCTTTAGAGTAATATAATTACCTTTGACCAACTTCCAAGATATTATGAAGAGCAGTTTATATTGTCTAAAAGAATGACTACTTCGAGAACAAGTAAAATTACTTTCTCTTGTGTCCAAGGTGAAAGCAATGAACACAAGAGTTAGGCTGAGATGCTGTGGAAATCTGAATGAGATGGACATTATAGTCACCAGGTTCAGGATTCCCATAAAAGACTCTTAAGCATTTAATGATCAAGAGATACAAAAAGTTAATACATTCTTGCATTTTTGAAGGAGTTGAAGTGTCTTTGTGATGAAACCTTGTAGACTCGCTCATCTGTAGGACACAAGAAACTTTTCTATCTTTTCTCATACTGCTGTGTTATCAAATGTATTTTGGAGACATTGCTGCTTTTTCTGAAGTCAGGAAACTAGCATTGATTTATACTCAGCCATACCTGTTGTCTCCACCAATTAAATTTACTATCTCAGAAAAGTCTGGATTGGCATGACACAAGTTGCTGAGTCCTTTAAGCCACAGAGGCCAGATAGATCAGAAAATTCCAATACACTAAGCCTCCTTGTCTGCCAGTCCCGCCTGTGTTTAGTGGCTATGCTCATGAACATGCATGGCAGTGAGATGTACTTTGGCGTCCTAGTGCTGTAAAACCAATGCATAGAGAGAATGTAGAAACTTAGGAATTAATGAACATTCAATTCCCTTATGCAGTAAACTCATAACAGCAAGTATCAGACTAGACTAAATACCAGTTGCTTTAATGTGTTCATATATCACTTAATTTTCATATGACAGTTTTAAATTCTGCTTTACTAGTCTGAATCCTTTCTATTTCTCACTTCCTCCTACTTGTAGATTAGATAATTCTGTGCTTTGAATGTCCAGAAGAAAGGACATTTCATTCATTCTGTTAGGAGGAAACAATAAATTCATAGGGTTGCACCCTTCACTTCATTAAATGCATTTAGAATATTCACTAAACACTTAGTAGCACCAGCTTACTAGCAAAGTACATGAATACAGTTAGCTTCATGACTGGATGATGAGAAAAATTGTGTGTCCCGTTTTCTGCAGCTTCTCTTGCACGGGTCATTCCAAGTAGTCCTCTCCCTCAAGAGGTTTTAGAATGTGAAGTAGTGTAAAATTTTCTTCCTCAAGGCAGATTTCAGATCCCCTATAAAGCTTTTAGGCACTAATGTGGACCTTCTTTGCTCATCAATAAATTATGGCTAAAGGCATCATGCCATAAAGCTTCATCCTTTTTGTGTCAATAATTATGTGACGTGGCTTGACATCAGATTTTCAGGTGCATATTTACTCAGGTTACAAGATGCACTGTGAGGATCCTCACTGCATCACTGGGCCTTAATTGCCCTGACCAGCCTTGGAATCCCACCCATGAACTCTGCTCCTGCTTCAGTCTGTAGAAGTCTGTAGAAATGAGCTGGTAGAAGACTTATGAAATTCAGCAAGGGGAAGTGCAAACTCCTCTTGGCACCAAATGCAACCCCCAGGCACCAATATATGCTGAGGGGGACAATTAGATGGAAACCAGCTTTGCAAAAAAGGAGACAAAGATGAATGTGAGCCAGAAATGTGCCCTTGAGGCAAAGAAGGCTTATCCTGGGCTGTATCAGGAAGAATGCTGCCAGCAGGTTGTGGTCGGTGATACCTCTGCTCTGTTTAGCATTGGTGAAGCCACACTGGTTCTATGTGAGCAGTGAGGTTAGGTAAGATGACCTCCAAAGTTGCCTAACAACCTCAGCCATTATGTCACTTTTTGATTCTACGAAAATAGTATTTTGCTTTTTTTACTTTCCACAGAAATGGTAGAGTATGAGAAACTTGCTGAGGGAGTTGAAGTGATATTGACTAAGAGAGCAACGTGTACAATAACAGCTGAAATTTAAAATTAATTTGGAAGGCAGAAAGGGACATTTGTGCTATGCTGTCAGATGTGCTGTGCTTATTACCTACCCAGAAATTGAGAGAGCAGGGAAGAGTTAATACAGCCCAATTTGGAGGTCTGGGATGCTGATATGGTAGTGTGAGGAGGTAGATGTAGTAGTTGCTAGATTACTGTTGCTGGTAATAAGAATAGCAGGGACAAAGTTTTAGGAAGAGCCCCCAACACCCAATCCACTAACACCTATGGTGGTAGGAGCTGCCTGCCTCTGACTCACACTCTGAGTTTCACCTTCCTTCAGCCTCTGAAAGAATCTGCCAATTGTATGAAGATAGTACTGGACATTAAGGCAAAATCTCCAAATAGTGTTATGATGCTGTGCCACTAGATCATAAGCTCCTCTGGCAACATATTTGAGCAGAATTCCCACAGCTACAGGGAACTCATACTGTTTTGCACTTTGAGACCTTAGAGTCAGACGTGCAGTTTGAATTTTGAGATATTTTTCAGTGAACTAGCTGCTTGACATCATCCTAAGCAAGATACAAATATACACATACTCAGAATTTGGTTACTTCTTGGTTTTTTTTAGACATAAGTTTTGCCTATGGTTTGCCTTTTTTTTCCGCTTGGAGCTTTTCACTTGCTATCCAGATTCTGAGGGATAAAAGTGTCTGGAGCTCCTCCAAGTTTGGGACTGGAGATGCATGAAAGTAGAGAGGATGGGGAACACAGGGATGTGGTCTCTGCTGGATGCTATGGTAAAAACATTGGGAACTCCTATGTGAAGGGTTTGGTGTTTCAATTAAATGAAACCCATGTGTTCAGTACATCTAAGGTAGCTACTACTGCTGTCAAGTTATACTCACTCACATTTTGCAGAGCCTCAGTAGATCTGCTGGTACTGAAGGGTCTGTGAACAAATACCAGAGCACTGGCACAAAGTAACAGAATACAAATGAAAGTGGTTTATAAAAAAAAACCCCAAACCAACAACTTTTGTTTGCAGTTTTTTTTTTTTTTTAATGCATCAAGTAGAATGAAATGGAATTCTTTGTGAGAGTATTCTTTATTTATAAGGACACATTCTTTCTCTTCCAAAGACAGAAGAAAATTGTATTTTTTTTCTAACAGTATTCAAGTTTTTTGCAACATAAAAAGATACATATTTTGGAATGTAGACTAAAAGATGTACAATGAAGAACATAGGGAAAACTTGGCTCTTTGCTGTCCCATGCAATTACCAGATGTTTGTCATGGTAACCCCTGAAAAGCTCTGACCAGAAAAGCATTCTTAGGAGGCTGGAGAGCATGCCAGCTGGTCATGTAAAGCCTGCAATATCCAAAATAATTTGGATCACCACCTGTTGCTACTTAAAAAAGAAAAAAAAAAATGCCTGAAAGAAGACAATGCCTAACATAAGCTAAAATCATACACATAGTATCTATCTAATAATACTATTATTTTTTTTGTCCACTTTTTCTTTCCCTTTGCTGTGATACCTGTAAATATCTAGAGTTAATAGAATGAGTAACAAAATTTCTACTTAATTCTGTGGAAAGTGTAATTGGAATCATTTTTTTTAATGTCTTTTTAAGTAGGATTTTGAGAGGTTGGGGAAGTAGCTGAACTTGTAATGGAGCATATATCCTGATATAATGGAAAAATTGAACAAGAAAACAATTAAGAAAATAGAATCCAGGGTATTGGTTATTACTGTGGCTGCACTAGCACAAGGAAAAGGGCACTACTCTATGACTGAGACATTGCTTTATATTGCTGTGGTATAGCAGAGAAAAGATCAGTGAAAACCTTGGAATCCTGTTAGTTCTTACATATCTGTTTATAGGTGAAACTTTTGAGTTATTGGTCACAAATACAGAGGTGTTTCTTTAGAAAGGAAGTTTTTTGCAGCATTTAATTAGAAGGCTCTCTGTGAAGAAGACCCCATTGAGGAAATTATCTTTTACAGGCCCTGACAATGAGGTCTTAAACATTTAGAAGTAGTCCTGATGACCAGTGCTCTACTTAAGGAAGAATGGTGAACCTGAAAACACCTTTGGGATGGACAGTGGATATGAATTTTGTTTATTTTTCTCATGAAGAAATTTCTTTCACATGATACTGATGTATCTTACAAGATTAAAGAGAATTTTTTCCTAAAATTCTCTATGAAAAGTCACTCAAAAAAAATCTCCCTGAAATTTGCAAACAGTGCAACTGGGACTCAAGGCTAAGTTGTAGGAGAAGTTTACACAATATATAATGTAGTGTGGAAGCCTGAGGAGGAAAATGCTGAGGAGACTGAGGTAGATAGTATTTTCCTTTGCTGTAAATAGGAAGCTTGAACAGAGGCAGATTATTCAATAGACCAAATGTGGCCATTGGTTACTGAAAGTATCCAAATATTCTTGTGAAAAATTGAAGTTGAAAAATGTTTTTACATAGTCACAATAATTGGCTACCTTTATAAGTTTCTTCTCTTGAACTGTAGTGTTCTCATAAGTTGGGTTATTTTAGCAGTTTCAAGATAGAACTTGTCTGAGGTGAAGTGTCTGGTTACTGTATGCTCAAAAAGTCTGTTAATATCAGTAGTTTTGTTATACAGAATACAGTAAAATTCAGAGTTAGGCTCTATAAAATGATGTCTTTTCATGCATTCAAAAGTGTCTCTTTTATGCTTTAAGAAGAGATAGCAATTAGATCAGTTACAAAGAATGTATTTATCTGTTTCACCCGGGTGGATGAAACCAGCTTGGCATTTAGTGCATTCTTATGCATCCATGTGTGTCTACAACAGAACAATATGGTATAAAAATTTAGAGCTTTCTGTTCATAGGTTTAGTTGATTGAATTTACATAGCTTCTGTGATTTCACTGGCCAGGAAAACATGTATAGCACAGGAGTTGGCAGGAGATTTTATTATTTCAAATTTGTTCCTGGATCTAGCATACATTAAAAAAAAAAGAATATATGATATGACATCTGCACTATGGTGAAGTATGTGAATTTGTTTTGTAAGAAGAGCAGGTTGACAGCATTCATAATAAAGACAAAAGAAGAATATAGGTTATTATAAGTCTATTTTAAAAGAATACATCAAAGGTATAAAAACAGACTTCTGAACTGAGGTATACATATGTAAATGACAGCTCTGAATGGTGTTGAAACTTGTATTAAAATGTCTTTTAATATTGAGGAAAACATGAAATAATTTGCTTTAACATTAGTTTTGTGCTGACTGCAAAGATATCATAGTTCTTTACAACTATGTGGTGCTTTTTAGGTGGATAATAATCTTCAACTCATTAAAAAAATTTTAAATGGCCCAATTGTGCTCAACTATTTAAAACTTACTCTACATGAACAGTAATAAATTATTTTATTGCGTTAATTTTAAATCTATTCCTTCCTTTAGACTGTTTTAACACAGGTAAGAAGTTACATACAATTATATAACAGAGAGATGGAGAGATTTTTCACTTTGGAATGTTTGGATAGTATCTTTCTTGACTTACCATACACATTAAATGAATGTATGGAGTAGAAATGTAAATAGACAACAAACGTTAAATATTCAGATTTAGGTGTGAGAATAATTGTTTGTCATGATTCCACATATTGCATCTTCATTTGATATAAATAACTTGAGGGAGATTTATAAATCTTCATGGAGCAGACTTTCACAACACCTTCCCCTTAGCTAACTGATAGGCATCACAGCTCCTCCTTTCTAATTATTAATGATGTTTCTATCCCTGTAAACTAAACTAGGCCAAAGCATGGGTTGGGTCATTGTCCTGAGGCAATTTTGTCTGTTCATTTTATTTTTAGTCATTAACATTCTTTGTCTTCCAGTTTTGACAAAATTCTACTGCTGATATATTTAAAACTTGATTTGTGGATTTGCCTTAGTGAATTGGTAGACTAAGAAAAACATGATACCAGGAGGATTTCATGAAAATGGCAGTAAAAGAGGTAATTTTTAGTTGGTATTAATAACACAGAAACGTCTCTGTAGGTGTGAACGTCGATTTGAAGGGCACAGTAGCCGCTGCTATCCATGTGGAATTGCGGTGTCTCCCTGTGGACGCTTTATAGCCAGTGGATCAGATGACAAATATGTAAGTAGTTTTTGCTTATTTTCCTCCTAAACTACAGGAACTACTCATATTGTATCTTAAAAGAACATTTTCAGAGCATTCTAGGATTCATCTTAATGTGCATTACTGGAATCTATGGTACTTCCATATAGTTCTTTCACATGTAGCAGTTGCATATGATTCATGATTATTTTGTCTGAAAAGTCCTAGAGCAGCTAAATCTTAGCACTCAAAATACCTGTTACAAGATTGTTTCTGTTATAGTAGGTTTCCATAATATTTAACTCTGAATTGTCATGTGCCATCAAAGGTGAGGAGAATGGTGTTCCCTCTAGCATAGTTTTACGTGTCGTATAGATATCTGACCAGTAGGAACTCTGTAGCAAATAGAAATTAATTTACTTAAGCTCCCAAATACAGGGTGATGAATCTTCTAGTATAGCTTTCTTATGAACCAATCAGCTGAATAAAAAATGAGAAGTCATTCAATTGGAATTAGAACTTTTTGGACCCTTTGTATGTGTGTTTTCTCTCCAGACAGGTTCTCTTCTGAATCAATGCCAATATTTAAATTATTTAGAAATGAATCCCGAGTACATGTGTATTGCTACCTTTTTGAGTTTTTAACTCAGTAATGCCTGCATTGTTGGCAGAATATTTGTCTTGCTGTTTGTGAAGAGATGGAAGATTGCTGACTTGTACTATATGCCTCTGAAATTGGACTGAGGTTGGGTTCATTGCAAACACATCCTTTCAAAAAACAGCTGGGTAGGAATGCTGTTAAAATTTATTTTTGGTATTTCTAGCTTAATAATCAGAATGTGACACAGAGTTCCTGGTCAACTTCAAATTCAGAATAAGAGGGATCTTCTCTTCTGGCAAGTTTTGAAGTACTGGCTTAAATAATGTATGAAGTTTAGAGATTTTATTGGCAGATTACAGTTTGGCAATAGGTGTTGTGTTCTTGACATTTTCATGATAAGATATATTTTTCAAGTTTCTGGTAAATAGCATTTCAAAATGTAGCTTACAATACAAAAGAAGGGCTTTTTGCTATGTCTTTGAAGAAATGCATATAATACTCATCTCAGGTCATGATATATATGATGTACTAATATATTTATTTGAGGCTACTAATTAAGCTTTTGAATTGTATAAAAATAGGTGCAGTCACAAGACCTTTTTGTCTTCTCTTTTGCACTAAGATATTTGTTTGGAATTAGTGCTGATTCAAGAAAAGAAAGACAGCATGATTTTATCCTTCCTCCAAATTCTTGGCACATGGTGGGTCATCAAAGGAAGCTGAATAGCTGGCAAACATCCTGCTGCCATTGGCATGTGGTCCCTGGTGGGCACAGTGCCAGTCAATACTTTGTAGTGTGGCTCCAGGGTTGGAATTTTGCATAATTTGCATCCTATGTCTGTAGAGAAGTTCCACTGTTCTTCTTGTCCCTTCAGGAAAACTGAGTCAAGTTTTGGACTCTTGCTTATACTGTTCTTTAAGGACAAAATGCAGTTTTGGGGCATTTTCTAGGAGGCTTCCCTTTAAAGTGTTGAGGCTGGATATACTTTTGTGCTTCCTTTTGAAACAGAAAATTGAATGCTGCACTGAATAGTCCATTCTTATATCTCAACTAATAGCATCCTGACAGATGGCTTAATGTGCAACTGGGACAGTTTGAATAGTATCAAGAAGTCTCATATTTCTGAAGATTATATGAATGAATGTCTACTGGAATAAATTGAATAAAAATGTTGGCAGTGTGGATACAAAGTGTTATCTCCAAAGAGAGCATTCTGGAAACAGGTTATGTACCTTTCCACTGAGAAGCAACTGCATTTTCAGTCATCTTGGAGTTTACTTTATCAAGTGCAGTTCTTGCACCCTGTAGTTAACAAATGTGGTTGATTTTAAAGCCAAGAGAGGCATAATTGGAATATAATTGAGAGATGTTGACCCTAAACTGCCTTTTGTATTTCACAATATCTGAAGTCTTTGACAGAGAAGAATATGTTGTCTACACATTAATAGCAAAATCACATTCCTCCAGCACATGGAAACAGCAAACCAAAATATGTTATTGTAAAAAAAAGAGATAAAAATTCTGTCTGCCTTTTCTGTCTACCTACTTTGGAGAGTGTATTACCTATTTTATATAGGAGCTTGATGTAGTTTGTGTGGCTGAAGTTGCCACGTGGTTTTATTTGAATTGCTTTGGTGTGTGTTAGTGTGAGATTTGTACATACTGTAAATTGGGGTTGAAAGTGTTTCCTGATTACTCCAACTTCCTTAAGAGAACCTTTAACAAGACATGTGTAGGACCTGACAGTCTGAAAAGCAAGTAACCAGAATGCTGGTTTTGGACTGTGATTGTCCTTTCTGTAATTAGTTGTGACTAGAAAATATAAAATGGTAACACTTCTAATGTCAAATCTTCTCTACATCCTAAATAGCCTAAGGTTACAAGTGAATTTAGTTGACTTTCGCTTAACTGAATACACATGATATTGTAATTTCTAACCACTTTACAAGTGGACAGTCTCAGATTTCTTATTATCAATATTATCGAGGACATTGGACCTTAATATACCTTAATTTGGTTTAGATTTTCATTTTGCTGGAGTCTGTACCAAGCTGTTTACCTAAAAATTTGTTGACTAAAGCAATCTTAGTGTAAAAAGACAAGAAATATCTGGACAGTGTGAGATGCTACTTTTTATAATAAAAAGAACTAATTTGCTTTTTGTGCTATGTAGTTCTAGTTAGCTGTTTTACTTTGTATATAGTTAGCCACTTAATTTTTGTCTTTGAAGACCTTAGGGCACTCTGACTAAATTCCAAGTTTCCAGAAATGAAGTAGGGAATGAAGAAATAAATATTTGACTCTTTAATTGCTTTCAGATTCACTCTTGCTAACTCTCTTTGATCTGTACACTCTAAGAGCTGCATTTTGACCCTAGTGCTGGATTTTCTAATATAAAACTCTGTCCATGCCAAATCTCAAAGCCTGTGTTCACACAGATTGACCCATATCACAAACTCAGAAGTTTTTCGCATAGCAGGTTGCTCCATGATTAACAAAAAATACATGGGTAATGGATTACATTCTCTTCCCTTCTTTTTTACACTTTTCAACAAAGTCTAGGATTTTGCTTACAACACTGTCTTTGAAACATTCTAAATCCAAGATTAAATTTATGCCTTCCTACCGTGAAGGCAACAAAGCTTGAAGCAGTAGCCCATAGGGCGGTAGCATTAAAAGGGGTATCAGGAGACAGGATAAAACAATTTGATTCTTATACATAACATCAGTCTAATAACCACTTCTGAGCCTCTGAATATTAACCTTCATACAAAATTTGTTTTAGAATATGTTCTCATTTTGCAAGCGATGCTGGTCTGGGGGTGAATCCAAAGAGTTTTGCAAACCTGTGAGTGGTGGCTGGATGCAAACCCAGACCTGATATTTTTTGCAGACTGATTTTCAGATTCAAGATTCTGCATCAGACATAGCACAAAGTGTAGAACTTGTTTATAGTTGACACCTTAGTTTAAGTAGCTACAGAGATTGATATTACAAATAAAATATCTGTGCTGCTGAGGAATATACTGTAATGTTTTACTAACAGAAAAATACATTTGGGAGTTGGGCTGCCAGCATTTTGTTCATCTACCTTGCACTGCACTACTTCCTAATGTAATCATTGCCAAGAAGATTGTATTTCTCAGCCCCCATAAATATATTATTATTCACCTAGTCTTTCTGTGGCTCTGTTCTGATTTATAAAGTGGAGATTAGCAACGGTATCTTTCTTCTCTCCTCTTGTCTAAGAGTTTAGATGAGGCCTGTCTCCATTTGTTACTCTTGTGATCAGCTGCTCTGATCTTATTTATATGAAATACTTCCATCCTTGTGTCTGTGGTGTGATAAACTTAAAAGCTGCATCTGATTAGGTTAAAAATGGAATAAAATGATACCAAAGAAGAAACACCTCAGGAAACCCCATATGTGAATGATAAAATTGTGTAGTCAATTATCTCCCTTTAATAGCCCACTTCATTAGAAAGTTTTAGGTACTAATAATGTTAGGTAAAAGACTACAAATAAGGGAATTGGCAAAGATATTCTGATATAGTTGTATGTAAATGGAAGAGATAGGACTAGATAATAGTCTAGAATGCTTTGTTCCATATCTCTTGGGAGCGTATCTTGGAGGCATAACTGAGGTTTAAATTAGGTATATTTTATATATGATAAAGTATGCTTTATTTATTTGGAGAAAAGAGAAGGATATTTTCTTTACTGGAAAATTACTTTTAGAAATGTGTGATGTTGGTACTGTATTATATTTGTTGTCTTGGTCTACACTTCATACTAGAGGGCTTGCAGAACAGAATGTATTATATGAAGCAGAAGTATTTTGGTTTTCAGTGTGATTGGTATTCCAGTAATATATTACTCAAGTTTTATCTTATGTGTCCATACTGTTTAATCAAGATAGGCTTTAACAGGAAACATCTGGAGAAAACAGCATTAGTAATGTTTACTGTGGAGAAGGCAGGACTGACATTGCTTGGCAGAACAAAATCCATAGCAGAGAATGAATGACAGACTGTGACAGCCTTTCTGCCAGCTGTTGATGGAGAAAATCTACCCCTTTCCAAAGAGAAACATAGTTTTGTTTTAGACTTGAACCTGAGGTTTTTGGATTCCTTAGTAGTGTGGTTGGCTTTTAGGCCTGTTTTCCTAAAAGTGGACAGAGAAATATTGATTTCTTGATCAAACAGTCATGAATTTGGGTATGCTGTTACTTCATGTCTTTTTGGGTATACCTTTGAAGATGCCTGAAAATCTTGGCCTTTGTAGGTTATTTTATGAACCATAGAGTTATGCGAGTATAAGTAAATTAATTAATTTTTTGTGTTTTTTGATCAGTTCAGGCTATTGTTTATCTAGACTACTATGCCTCAGACCTGACCACGACAAAACTAGATTAGCAGCTGAGAGAGGTGGAAGATTTTCTGATGGCTATAGATGTTATTTAACTCATACTGAACAACATTTTTTTTTTTCTCAAACTGAATTTTGAGTCTGTAATTTGTTACTGTGTTAACATTGGATTTTGCTGATGTTTTTGAGAGATAGGAGGAAGTGTGAGAAGTTAGCCTTTTTGGTTAAGAAAATTTATTTTAAAAAAGATACTTCATGTTCAACTATAGACAAAACAGGAAGCTTAAGTAGATATGAATACCCAGTGTTATTTTGGAAAGCATACAGCAGTGAGGTGCTAAAAGTGGATATATATAGTTTTATATCCCCAGGGTTTGTGTTTTCTATATGTGTACCTCTTGGTCTCAATTCTTGACAGTAGTTGAATTTTGGGTATGATTGGTACATCTGGTACAAAAATCTGGTTGAAGGTCCTTTGCAGCACACAAACAGGGAATGCAATTATTGGTACTGTTGAGACAGAGAAGAATCCTAGGAGCAGTCAGAAAAGTGGGTGTGATACAACCATGTTGCTTCATAGTCAGATGTGAATTCTTAGGATAAAGTCTTCAACTTTTAATTCTGTACTCTGACAACAATATGTGTGTTCTAAAAGTAAAGGCGACCTAAATTCAGTGCTGCAAAATTTAGTATTAAAACAAATAAAACAAATCACATACATTAAGCCTTAAAATTAGCAAATTAAATAGAAACTGAATTGGCAAAAATTTCAATTTGGAAGCTTCATAGAAGGGTGGCTTAGAGAGGGAAGTCAGATATGTTTATGTAATTTTTTGTAGTGAGGAAAATTCAAATGTGTTATCTATAACTGCCAGAAGATTGAAAAATATCCCCTTGCATCTTGAAAGATGACTGATATGTATAATATTAACTATTTTAATAATAAAGAGCATTAATAATGTTCACTGTCACTCATTTTTTAGTTATGTCGAAGGAAATCATGTAGAAACTGGGATCTTACAGTAGTGGGAAGTTTCCTGCCTGTAACTACCAGAAAGACAGCCTCTAGAAGTGTCATTAAAAGGGAAAGGGACTCTGAGAGGGTGTACTGTACTCACCATTTTGGTGCCAGGCTTGATTAGACTTTCCATGCTACCACGGTAAGCGTATAAGATATCTCGGGACTGAAAAGCATTAATCAATGCTTAGAATACTTGTGAAATCTGTTTTATTATGTGTGGATTTGGCACCAATGCCTATAGTTAAGGTAGTCTAATGCTTTCCACTATAATTCCGTTTTCAGTTGCTTATAAGTAAGAACATTTTGGGCTGAAATTTTCCATACTGCTGGTGTCTGCTTCAGGTTAATTATTATTTTTCTTTAGTGTAAGTAGTTCAGGAGATTTTTTAGCTTGAAATTGAGGAAAAATACATGGTTCAGTGGAATATGTGCCCCAGTATAAATAGGGAGTGATGCAGTGCAAGTCAAACACTTATATCATGTACTGCAGGATTCTGCATCAAGTTTGATGCCACTGATGGGAGCAAATGGCAAATAATGCCTTATTAATAGCTGAAGATATCTTTTATAAAAATTTGTTAGATTACCAAGGGACTCTATCCCTCCAACATATCTGTTTTCTGTAGCTCATTTGAAATATTAGGAAAAATAGTCACCAAAAAGTGATGACAATGTAATGTACCAATCCATGTAAAAACATGTGAGGAAAACATCTCTTTGTTTAAGGCCAAATTAGGTATCTTAGATACCAATGTCTTTCTGTTTGCTTGTTAGTTGTGTTCTTTTCCTGTGATCTGTTTGTGAAATACATCCTTCAGCTTAAAGCCACAGCAGCAACAAAGGGTTTTCCTTGAAACTGGTGTTGCTTTTCTGATCCCTGTACAAAAGCTGATAACAAGGAGAATTCTCCCATTATTAGTCAAGTGTTTGATTTGCTTCCCTCTTTCCTGTCCCAGGAGGCTGTAGGAGTGTAAGTACTTTGACACAAATGTTTATGGCCATGGGTTGGACTAGGGGGCAATGGGAACAGATGGGAACAAGTTTCCTTTGAAGTTAGAGAGTGAGAAAACAGGAAAGAATTTAGAGTGAAACTCTGCAGATAAAGTGTCAATTTATCTAGCACATTTTGTCTACCAATGCAGTAGAATTAAGTAATTTTCCATTTGGATAAAAATTCCTCCACTCAAGGAAGGGCCTTTGTCCTTCTTCTCTGTCTCTTGGTACAAGTCTAGGGAAGAAATCAGAAGCTTGTGTATGCTTTAAGGTGCTAAATATCCTGCCACACTCTGGGTTACTGAAAACTGGCTACTCCAAATGTTCTTCAAATGTCTAGTGAAAGGAAATACAAGTAAGTATGTGGTTATGAGTCCAGGAAACTTCTTTGGAAGCTATTGGTACAGGTAAATTATTTTTTACTTTTGGCTGACCCTCAGCAAGAATTGGAAAGGAAATACCAATATCTACTGAATCAGTATTTTTATTAGACAAAATTCATCTTAATATAAAAAAAGGCAGTTGTCTTTGGCTAAAGTCTAAAACATTATATGCACAAATGCATTTTGGGTATTGCTGAGTGCTTCCTAGGCTGTTTTGTTTTCTTTTTCATTACATTTGGTTTGATGAAAATCTGTTCTTCCTCTGTCATTGATTTCATATTTTCAAGCTTTTTTTTTATTCTTCTGTGGCTAGTGTTAATGGTATAATTTATAATTCAGTTTCTGTTATTTTCTTTTTTCTATAGAGAAGACTATGCTAAACCTAGTAAGTATAGAATAGAAAAACCATGTGGATGACATCAGAAAATATAGCAAAACTTAAATGATGGCCGACTATAGCAGAAGAATGCTTATACTGGAGTTATCCCTCTCCTTATGAGTGTTCTGTTAAAATACAATTATCTTTGGAAGTTTTGTTTTGTTTTTAAACTTTTGAAGTTAAAAATAAATGTACTTTCAATCTTTAACCAAATTAACTATTATTCTCAGAATTTAGACTGTCACTGGCTGGTTTAAATATCTATGGTTAAAACTACTTAGACAGAAGCTGGGTTTATCCACTTGTTTATGAGGATGTTTTTCTTTTAATCAGATTTTATTGTCTTGCATGTCAAAATTACTCAGAAAATTACTATTACTTTTCCTTTCAGTTATTGGAAGAGATGACAGCTGCCACAACGCAATAAACTATTCTTGCATGTAGCTAGAGACCCTGCCCCTTTTTCTGTTGAACCATAACACCTAAATATTTAGGATTTATGGGGCTAGGAATAGCGTATTGGAAAGACATTTAATAGTAGTTCCATTAGGATGGGTTTGTAAGAGTGGTGTGCAATGGGTAGGTTGTGTTCCCTGACATGATCTGTGTGTTTTGCCTAGCAGCTGTTCAATATGAGCATAGAGTCTTTGTCGCAAAGGTCAGAGGAAAAGGCTTTCCTATATCTGGTCTTTCCCATGTCCTCCAATGCTTCAGTGGTTAGATACAGGTGGACTTCTACCGGTAGCTGTTTGTCATGACTTTCTTCTAATCCAATGAATCTGTGACAATGCGACAATTTAGAAAAGTGCTACATCCCAGCCCAATCTCTAGCTCAGGGCTAAGAATCATCTCTTGGAAGGTGGGAGGTAAGGGTCTGAATGCTTTTTAGGCTGAGAAGTGTGACTACAGCACCAAATACACTCTTGCTAGATTATAATTAAGTTGCATGACTGCTTCACAGCATTTTTGAAAGAAAGGTATGAGCCAAGTCATTGATTTAGAAACTGTGTAGAAGGGAATAAATTACCAGAATACCTGGGTTTAACAAACTTTGGAGTTCTTTTCAAAAAATAACCAAATATTATCACATCTATTTTACAGGGTGGAACAGGGACATAAAGATTAAGCCAGAAATGAACCTGGTCCTTTGCAAATTAAACTGAGGACCTGGAATGGAAAACTAATTTTTACTTGGAAATTCTGGCAAAGTTCTGTAAACCAATAGATTATGATGGAAAAATTTCAACTTCACTAACCATGCCTGTCTGTGATATGTTCACTTGGTTAAAAGATGGAGCATGTTTCTTTGTGAATCCGAGCATTTTGTACTCTTGATTCTTGTTGTCATTGACTTTGCCTGTTCTTTGTTCCTCCTTCCATTAAAGAGAACTGAAGCCTAAGTAGGCTGGCCTGGAACAGAGGTTAGACAGAGTTAAAGGAATAAAGTAGGTATTTATAAAAAGCCTTCCAAGGATACACCCTGGGCAGTACAAGAGATAACCAGACATGAAAATCATCAATATCTTAGGATTGATTTCTGTAATTTGGGATAACTTAGCAAATGCTTATATTAACTCAAAAAGAAAAAAGGATTTAGAAAGAATAACTTTCCTCAATAAATAACTAAACTTTAGATGTACTTCAAGAAGCAGGTAAAAAAATTAATTTAAAATATTATGTTCTTTGGAATTTAAATAATTTCTTTTAAGTGGACTCTAATACCTTTCTAAGTTAGATACTCCAATGATTAAAATTTTCTTACTTTGTAGGCTATATATTAAGTGTTCCTACACTATAACTTAATGCTTCAAGAGTGTGGGTTTTTTTAATACTAAAAATATCAACTCATTTTTTTTTAGGCTTACATATATGAAATGCGTTCAAGCACTTTTTTACATAAACTGGGGAGACACACAGAATCTGTAATCAATGTGAGTTTTAATCCCTCATCTCCACAGGTAAGCCATGGCTATTTTTCCTCTTTGTAATGAAAGCATGTAAAATAGCTCAAAGACCTGAAAGATTTAAAAAGCAACATTATTTTAAGTATGCTGTGTCAGAATAGCTATTGAAATAGCTTTATCACAATATTTTGAAAAACTATTACTGTTGTGCTTTGAGCCTTTTAGATAGCAATAGGTGAAAAGTACTTCAAAGAAGTTAGGCATTATGCAATAAGAACTTCTGTTTGTTTAATGATCATTGTACTAGGCTAACAGCATCACGTCTCAGTGTAATGGTTTAATTGCAGTGCAGCAATATATATAAAGAGGTTTCTTTTCTAAGTTTTATTTTGACACCCAAGCTTCCCTCCAGCTAGTTGATCAAGTGAATTCTTTGTATGCTGTTTTTAATCTTATGGCTTTACCTTCTTTGTTTTCATGTATTGAATTTGCATTGAAACGTCATACTTTCTACTTTTTTTCCTCACTTTAAAGGCACAACAATGGTCACTATATACATTTATGTAAGAGTGGACAGTAGCTTCTCTTTACTTCACTGCCTCATCACCACTGACTATACTTGCTGCTATTAAAGATACTTAAGGAGTAAATAAAATTCCTTTACTTGTAGGAGTATTATAACATTTAAATATATCCTTCCATTTGTAAATATAGATGCTAGCACTTCTGTGGTTTTAGAATTTCTGGAAGCTTTATTCTCTATGTATGTATTGTTTGAACTGAGAAATTGATTGCTGTCTTATGGTGAACATGATGTATTTCTGGTCTTTGGATTCAGCAATGTTATATTCAGTCAAATGGTATGGTTTATTAAATTTTGCACCCAAATTAAGTGTAGTGGAAGGTTTAGCATTGAACATATTTTTGCAAAATATATATACTATAAGAATAGAACTGACTGTAGTCTTGCAGAGTTCTGATCTGTGGTCCAGCTGCTGGAATGAGTTTTGGTGGAAAACATCTGATTAGAGTTCAATTGCCAAAAGTCTAGAGGCTCAATTTCAGTAGTAGTATGAATCAAGACTTGGAAATAATTAAGTTCAGGAAAATCAGTTGTTAACCAAGGGGGCAGAATCTACAAATGGTGTAAAATAAACTTCGGCTGTGGCTCCAAGCCGGACTGGTATGAGAGTGTGCTTTGGGGTGCAAACTCTTTAATACTGAATTTTGTCAAACATCACACAGTCAATTAAGTACTATAGGTAGAGCCAAATCTGAAGTTCAAGTGCCACAGAGCCTTTTCTTGAAGAGTTCTTTCCTGAGAAACAAGGCCTGTGGTCTTGAACCAGCTGATGACTCTCCCCATACATACTGTTGGGGGAAAGATTTCAAAGATGGTTTTATCAGAAACACATTACTAAAAAGCAAGGTATGTGTAAAACTGCTGCAAATTTTCAGATGAAATGTAAATTTGATTAACCACATAATTCTGCATGATATACACTCCAAAATGCTTTCTAAGTAATTATTTTTGGGGGAGTTACAGAAACAAAAACCAACAAAAAAAACCCCCGAAAAACTACCTGGGCTTGTCAACATGAAATATAGCATGAAATTACATTCCAAGGCACCAGGATAAGCTGTTAAGCAATGCAATGATAAGCTTGTAAAGTAGAAAAGAAGAAAACCATAAATTAATCAGAAAAGAATAATCCCATACCTTGAAAGAAAGACTTTTTATTAGGCAGAGTTTCCAATACTGGAAGATTTTTGTACCCATTTCTACTACTGGTTAGGGATATAAAACTGACTCTATTCTTGTGTCATCCAATGTTTGAATGAATGCAATTAAGATTTATATTGGGTTCTAAACAGCTACTGCATAAAGCCCCATTGCATTCAAAGGGAAACACTGGCAGGAGAAAGAGAAATTGGTGAAAAAAAGAAAGTGGCTGATGAGTGAAATTCAGACATTATAACTAAATTTTTTTGCTGTGGAAACATCCAGCCAAAAGTGTGATGTTCTTTCAGTGCTCCAGTTCAATTTTTGCTTGCCCAGCACCTGTCATGAGATAGCTTATTCCAACCATTCTTATAACTCTCACTTGCATAAGTGTTCTTCCAGACAAGAGGGAAAAACCCTGGATGGATATGATATAATTATAGGGGGCATTTTTGCTTTCATCGTGTGGTATTCTGCAATAATTTATGAAATGATTGCTATGAAAGCTGGAGAAGGGGAATAAGTTAGAAAATTTGCATTTATTTTAATTTTCAAGATGATTTCTCAGTTTTAGCTCCTTATTGTCACTTATTGTCCTTATTGTCCTGGTTTTCACTCATTGTTCAAAGCTTAAGTAGGGAAGAGTGTTTATTTTACCAAAACAATTACTACCATTTCAATCTATTTTAGAGGATATACATTAAGGGTTATTGCAACATTTAACTATAATAACTGTAGTTATTAACTATAACACATTTGAGTCAGTCTAAGTTAAAAAAGGGGCGAGTCTTATCTTCCAAATATAGAAACAATGAGTAATCTCTATGTTTTTGAAGCAGGATAAAAGCAAATGAGGACACAATTCTCATCTGCTGGTTTTGTGAAGTTGAATATTGGTATATGCTGTGATGGAAGTTATTATTTCATGACAGAATCATGACTTTGAAATCAGTGTGCGTTGCTAGCACCCTATTGATAGGGTGACATGTAGTTTCATGCTTTTGGAGAGGTGAGCCTGCACTTGCAGTCGGTCAGCTGGCCTGGCTGGGAACCTTCTGATGTAGAGTAGGATTAAAATTGAGGGACAAATCAGAGATGACCCAGAGAGACTATTTAATGTTCTTCCTGTTTAAAGAGAAGCCAGTATGTTCTCATGTGTCTTGCTATCAATTCTTAAAGTCTCTGCTTATTTCACAAACCTTTTTTGTTAAATGTTCCTTATACAGTTTAGGAGAAATGCAGTCTTTGCAGGAAGACTGTCTTTGCCACAGACTGTACTGCAGTTTGTCTGGTAAGAAGATATTTCCTTTATCAACATCCAGCCAAAGGGGACAGTTGCACTAAAAAAATAAAATAGAGCCTCCTTCTGACCTTTTCTGAGGATGAATGTATTTCTGTCCGTGTCTTGAACTATTAGCCAAATCTGTGTACTCGCATTTGGTTAATCTCAGTGAAGTGAATGAAGATAGGGAGTGGAAATTTCCTAAATTTAACGAACATACTGGTTTAATTTTCTATTCAAACTACTGAAGTATCAGTCTGATTAAATTTTATCAATATTTTATTTTTATTCCCCATCATGTTCAATATCCTTCTCTTTTTCATCCTCAAATGTACAAATTTATTATGATGGTATTATTAAAAAAAAAAGAAGGGACAGCAGTTAATGCAATTTGTCCTAATCTTTCATGGTTTGTTACAGATCAACTTGTAAATGGTACCAAGGTACTCATGTAAAGCAGTTCAAGGCAGCTGCATGTGCCCTTTCTTATTCTGTAAGACTCTGAGACTTATGAGAGGTAGAAATTAGGGTAAAAAGATCTCTTAAAAAGGTAACAGCACCTGTTATTGTTGAGCAAATAAATCATTGTGACATGAATTAAACTTTGGGGGTTTTTTATGTAAGATGGTGTTTTTTAAAAAAATATTAGCAGTCATGGACTGATACAACTGTGTAGTATACAAGCCTACCACATGTTAAAAATCTTGAGATAGTCTTCAGGTTTGGAGAAATGCATAACTGTTCAACTTTCAAATTTTCAACAGTTAAATGGATTTAAAAATGAGTCAAAGCAGAGAAGTGTCAGTCCAAGTATCTTGGGGGAAAAAGATCTTCAACTCTACCCACCTTTGGGAGATTCTCAAAGTGTGCTTGGTTTCCTACTGTATCTTGTTTGGCTGCTGCCTTTAAACCAGTAGTTATGTTTGCAGATCTTGGTCCTTGCCATTTTAAAAACTGCTTTGACAGAAAAGAACATAGTTTTGGGCTGTTCCACTCTCCTGCTTCAAGGGTGGTTGAGCCTGTGGATAACTGGATTACTAGGCTACTAGTGTGATGCAGCAGATAGTCCTACTGAATTTATTCCAATCCCTGAGAATTCAAAACTGAGTTTATCACTGAACATGTATGTTACTGTTTAAAGCAGAAAGATAATTTCATTTGCAGTTTCTAACAAACTCCAATAATGTTGTGTATCAATATATTAAAATATGAGTTGATGTTTAGTGCAAAAAATTGTTTATAACAAAAAATCCTTGCAAGTAAATGTGAAAAACACATGAAGCAGGATGGCAGATTTTAAAAGCGAAAGCAAGAGCCTTCTATAAGCCAGAAAGAACAATATAATTCAGTTTAATCATTGAATACTCCATACATTTTAAATGTGTTGCCAGCAAAAAACAGCTGTACACCACATGATTTTAGATAAATATGCTTGCAGAGGCAAGCATCTGAATTCATAGCATATTTGTCAATCTTTATGGTACTTCTTACAAGGGTAGATACTTTATTGAATGGCACTGCTAGGCTGAAAGAGCTGGTAGGGAACAATTGGTTACTCGGCTGTTCAGTGTGAGTTTTGTTTACCAAGTATCTAGACAGGCTTCCCTGTTGACTGTAAAGAGAGAGGAATAGCTGGGAGTGGGAAGGAGAGGCACTAACTGTAGTCATAGGGATAATCTGGAGAGCAGACATCTTCTTGGAAACTATCAGATAGTGACGAGACAATGGTGGAGACTAAGCACTGGAGGAAAAGAACATATGTATGGAGCGAAGTGATGATGTTGGAGAGATGAACAGAGTGCCTAAAGGGATGGAATGAAAGCCCTAAGTAGGAGATGAAAGCTGCAAGGTTAAGAATTATAGCTTCTTAACTTCTAGTTAAGCCTTGTTTCTGAAAGAGATAGGAAAAGTGAGATGCCTGTGACCTGGTTTTCAGAACTGCTGAGAACCAGAGGTTGCTCTTAACAGTTCTGAAAATTGGTGAGTTCAGTGTCGCAGAAAAAAACCCATCTTTTTGAAGGAAATAAAGGGAAGCTTTCAGATGAGATA